GACACCTGGCCCATAAAGTAACCTCCTATTAACATCATCTACCTTGTCTTCATGCACAATATAAAGGTGATAAAATCCATCTTTCTCAGGTGCTTCAAGGAGCTTTGCTATGTCCTTATCTCCCACTATTCTAGCCCTCCCAATGTGTAAAGAACATCCCTTTTTCATATACCAAATTTCCCCAATCTCATCAAAGCCTAAGTCAGACTTAATCCAGTAGGCAAACTCAAAATAACAAACCTCCTCCACATTTACATGCAATGCTATTTCATACTTTGTTGGGTCTACATTTGGTTTTTTTTTTTCTCATAAGTTGTAATGTTTTTCTTAGTCACAAAACGACCACCATAGTACATCCTAATGTTATTGGGTTCCATGAATTTAAACCGAGGTTCAAACACATTCACTCTACCGTTAAACCTGACAAACACACCAACAAAAACAAAATTCCAGAAATTCAACAAACTAGGGCAACAAATGAACAATTCCAGTAAAAAAAATTCAACAATCCAATCCAGTTTGCATGCATTATTTAAGAATCACAGTTCAAAATCATCAAACAACCAATAACAATTAGGTTAATTGAGTTTATTTATTGTCGATTTTTTGTGATAAACCCTAACCATTTAAACGCGAATTGTGCAAATGAGTATGAAATTGAAGAACATACCTGGGTTTGTACTTTACTACGTAATTGGGAAACCTTGTTTTGCGTCCAAGCGTCCCCTTTCTTCCTCCTTTAACAATTGAAATAGTAAGAAAATGAGTTTTTCAATTGTCTAAAAAAAGCCCCAATTTTTTTTTTGACTATTTCGAGTATAGAACTGGTGATTTTACACTAACCTTAATTTATGGTTGTAGTATTAATGGTGAGCTGAGAGAGAGAGAGAGAGAAACCCAATTTGATGTGATAGTGTTGCATAGCATTCATGGAGGAAAGGGGAGAGAGAATATAGAGGAAATTCTTTGGAGGGAAAATAAGAGGGAAAAATAAAAGGGGGAGTGCAATTATCAAAATAAGTGGCAAAAAGTAGGAAAACTCATGGGTCAACGCCTGAAATTGGGAGTCAATGCCGGAAAAGAGAGCCCAGGTTTCATTAAACAAAAAAAGTGATTGTGGTGGTTTTTTTAAACAAAGAATCGTTTGAAAGGTTTTTTCTTGCAAAATGAGGCATTTAAAAGATTTTTTTTGACAAATTTTCCATTTTTAATGGTTATGATCGTCTATGATGCAGAAAAGGATAGAGAATCTAAAATATACTGAGAAGCCAAATTTCAAAATATTTGGTTCAAATATGTGGGTGCGTATCGAATTGGTTCTTGTATTTATTGTGTACATTAGTACAGTCATACATCGGTGACTCTCTATCTTATCAAGGTAAAATATTTGATTAGTAAAAAAAATTATTTCATTAATAATGTGATCGACTAAGATGTGATAGAGTATTTAGTATCTTGAATATCCTCTTAAATAAAAGTTGGTGCAGATCAAATTATTGGATTGGATCTCAGTATCTCACATGACTCACTTCCATGTATTTTCAAAGACGATGGAGTTTAATTCAAGTAGTGTAAATAATTAGGGCATTTTCAACAATAGCTTTTGGTGCTTCATTATAATTTGAGGATAGGATAGTGGCATGGGGCTGAAATGGAGATAAAATTCATAATCGCCATGGGTGATAGATCGAGGGTGGATTTTAGGTTGCACCTAGAGACGGATTTTTGTTTGGGCTGGCAAGGGCCTAACCCCCTGAGTATTTTTGAGTTGCTGATTATTATATACCTCGTTGACATTCTTATATAGTCGACACTACAACTTATTCGGCGATTGAATTTGAAGTAGTGGTTAGCGTTTTGACAAGATCAGAGTTAGCAAAATTAAAAGTGTTTAGCAAGATATTGGTTCAATGCACGATTAGTGGTATAGGTAGTGTTTAGGTAACTTTTCTTGAATGCTTAAAATATTAATATTTGTCGAAATTTAGTTACGTATTTTATTATATTTTAATATATCAACCGCTATTTTTGGCTAAACACTCAGCTCATTCTATCGATTGTTACATTGATAGCTAACCTCTACCAACTACTAATTAACAACTACTCACTATTCTGATGATTACTCGCTATTCAATAGCCAAAAGATACCCGCTACCACTAGTTTTGTCGAATAAGTAAAGACATTATGGCGGGGACCAATAATGTTCAGTTTTGGAGGTAGCTTATATTGAAAATCTAAAATTCTGCTTTTGATAATTAAAGGCGTAGTCGTTGTAGGTTTTTTTTTTTTAATTTCCCACTTATAAATATTTTACCAAATGCTTTTACTTGATTATTCATTTTCACAACTACGACCACAACTAACAAACACCTCTATAGCTACATAAGTTCTAATTTAACCCATTAAAACAATTATATAAAAATAAATAAGGAAAAATTCATGGGAATAATCACACCTTTGGGCCATTCGTTTTTAATAATTCCACCTTTGAGATATTTTTTAATAATCCGACCTTTACCCCTCATTTTTTTTTAATGGTTCCGGGTGACCAGTAACCGGTTGAAGAGGTAAATTTTTTTTAAAAAATATTAATTACACGTGTCATTACTTAATTGATCAAAAAAAAATTATCTCCATTGAAGCAGCTTCTCAACGTTCTCCATTGAGGTGAAATTTATCCTCCATTATTTAAAACCGCCACCATTATTTAAAACCACCACCACCAGCCAACCTCTCTGCCCCGGTGCCCCCACACCCTTCCTTGCCCTCCGCCTCCACCCCCGTTGCGCCCAGAACCACCAATTCCCCTCGTCGGCGCTGCCCCTCCCCTACCCCCTGCGTCGCTACTTAACCACCATAAACCCACCACGAAATCCCCTTTCCCTCCCACGAAATCCATTAAATCATCACCATAACCATCAACATTAAGAAGCCCATTAACAAATTCTTCTTCCTGCACATCTTCCTCCTCTAAATCAGAACCAAACCCTTGAAAACTATCTTCTGAAACTTCACCAAAATCAATGGCTATTTAAGCAGGGGACGCGGCTTGAATCAGAGGATGGGGGAGGTCAGCGACGCCGGAATCGGGGGATGGGGTTGGTCAGCAAGGTCGAAATTTGGGGGGGGGGTGGTCGGATTCTTGGGACAAGCTAAGGGAGTTGGGTGGGATTTCAAGGTGAAGTTGGGGGTCGGGAAGAGGAGTGGGCTGCCATGGTCAGGGTGGTTCGATTCGGAGGGGTTTTGAGGTGGCGGAAGTCTGTGGAGGTGGAGGTTGAAGGTGGGGGTCGGGGGTCTGAACGGGGAGGGAGAGGAGGGGTGAAGGTGGAGGGGGTCTCAGCAGGAAGAAAGAGGTGGTTTTTTTTTTTTTTTTTTTAATTTAAGCTTTAAAAAAAAATTAATTAAGTGATTTTTTTTAACTTTTTTTTTTAATTTTATTATTTGGATCAATCACAGGCCGCCACGTGTCATGTAACATAACCGGTTGGGACCATTAAAAAAGAATAAGGAGTAAAGGTCGGATTATTAAAAAATATCTCAAAGGTGGAATTATTCCCATAAATTTTTTCAATAAATAAATCTTTCACTAATTTTTTAAAACCAGCTAAAACTTCATTTGCGATAAGGGAGATACTTTATTGCCTTATTTGTGATGCGATCAACTTTGATGCGGGATGGAAAAGCGAATCAAAGATTAAGTAGCTCGATTTCAAAAATATCTTGAATAAAATTAAGGTTGGGTTGTGTATCAAATTGGATCTTTTAGAATATATAATTAATATAATAGTTAGAGTTTAGTTCATTTCTTCCAAGCTTGGATTCAAGCTCAATTTGGCAATTTGCAGTGAATTCTATTCAATTTTAGAGAGGTACATACTATCTTCATTCTTTATTCTTTATTCTTTTTTCTTTTTTACGTCTCATAACTGACGTGTTCTTTTGTATAATTTTGTACCTCACGCTAGCTAGGCGCTATTCTTTTTTGTTTAATAAGTGTTCAAATTGATCTTGTAATAATCATGTTCAAATTTTGGTTCAATATATTCACATGTAAATTTCAACAACATTTCTTCGTTCTTGAATTTTAATTGGATCGAAGGGCTTTGTTGAATTTTGAGTTTTTTTGCTACAGTATGGGATAGCATAATAAAATTGAACTATGTGATCATGACAACTTTGTGTAAAATATTGTTTGAATGTAGTCTGACTGTATATGCTTTTGTTTAGGTAACATGAATTTTGGACACGACGCATGGATGGCCATCCCCCAAAATCTCAACTTTGATGGAGTGAGTAAAGCCCACCCTTTGTTCTCTATTGAACAAATTCTTGTCATGGAGCTTTTTTCTAAGCTAGACTGTCATACCTCCCATAACATTAGCCAGACTTGTAGCTTCTTCAAAAGCATTTGGAAACACAAAGATTGGGTTCCTTTCCATGTGAAGAAGTACCGAGAGTCTTACAAGCGGTGGGTAGCCAAGGACATCATTCACTATCACTATGATGAAATACAGTTGCATAGCTCTATGTCAGTTGATTGGGCTGACTTTCTTGATGGCTTTCCATTGCTTTTTGGGAAGGATATGTTTCCTGTTCATTTCACCTTCAAAAAATAATATTTACTAAAAATAATTTCAGTTCAGTAAAAATAAGTTTAGTTCAGTAAAAATAATTTCAGTTTAATAAAAATAAGTAACTTTAAAGAATAAATATAACAAAAAATCAATAAAAATAATTTCAGTTTAGCAAAAATAATTTCAGTTCAGTAAAATTAGCCTAAGAGCTAAAACTTTTCAGTGAACTACTTGACTCTTTTTTTTGGAAGAAAGAAACAGTGAACTACTCAACTTTATACTCTAATAGAGGATTAGAGGAATGTTCCAAATTAATATCATGTAGTCATGTACTACCACTCTTTTTTGATAAAAAAAATATATATATATATAAAATTAGCATGATTATAAACGGCATAATATACGGATTCTACGCATCCCCCTAATCAGGAAGAAATGACTGTTTTTTTCATTTTTTTTTTGGGTCAAAAGTAACCAAAATCAGGAGGAATTGACTAATTAGGACATCATTCTTGTTTGAAGCTCTGATCAAACAAGAAAGAGTAAAACATCATTTGGTTTAGTAATTGATAACAATATACTTCACATCTAATAAAGTGAAGATCAGAATGAAAATTCTTACAATTAATAGCCTAAAATAACCAATACTATATACAAAAGCATGCATCTACAAAAAGCACCATAGTATTGTTCATCATAATCTTTCGATGAAGACTTCTGGAAACACTGAACAGGACAGCCAAAGAGTAGCGAAAAATAGATACCCTCGAATGCAAGTTAACCAATCTTTTCTGTGTTTGTGTCATCTGAAGGCCATATTATGGTCTCCAATAGCCTTTCCCGCATCAACTCCAAGTTTTCATCTGATATGAATTGATAAATTTCACCGTGGTCACATTTCTGCATCAAAATGTCAGGAAGATTATGGGGTTAGAAAAAAAATCCAAACCATTTTACTTGGACTTGCATGTAAATTGATACTGAGGAAGAAAGGAGATGAGTTGCTAGCACACCTTAATCCATTTTCCATACAAATGAAGGCGTGTTACCATTATTCTTTCTGCAAGTTCTTGTTTTTCCTATCAATTACAAGAGTTAGTATGTTGAGTTATCCCTTGGTTCTTGTTCCCTTATTTTGGTAGGGAGGGGTTTGAAGCTCGGGATTCACAATTGAATGTAAAAGCATGGCTTCAGAAACTTACTTTCCCTAGGTTACGGATGAACACCTTCCCATCTCCAGGTTTGTTAGCAACGAGAAAACTGCATTGACAAAAACCCAAGTCCATGAAGCTGAAATACTGCAGTTCATTCAATTCATGCAACCGAGAATATCTTTGAAAACTTAAAGCATTTATCAGATGCTCGGTTGAAATGGTGCATATCTGTCATCAATCTAGAACATTAACAGGATTCAAAGATTGTAAATAACTGAATACAGAGCATAAATAAAGATGCATCTTACAAAGAGTCATCATATTTTTAGCTCTATGACCACTCTAAAGTTTGAACTTATACTAATATTAATCCAATGACATACATAATCAAACAGGAGCCCCATTATGTTTTGAGCTCTGAAATTTGAACTCCTCATGCTTGATTTTCCAAGCTTTCATTATGTTTGCCACAAGTAATGTTTCAGGTCACAAAAGAGGTAAAAACGTCATGAAGACTAAAACATTACCCTTGAAACTAGGCCACTAGAAATTAACAGTTTTGAGCCAGCCAAGTTAATTCTTACTTCTCCAGGGCAATAGTATGTAGTGAGAAAAGGATGAGGTGCAAGGCATACAAAAAAAGTAAAAACTGTAAAAGATAATCAAATGTCTACTTACTTATAGAGCCACGTATATTGAGTGGGATTCATTTCGTAAAGCTGGTTTAAAACAGTCCTTGTAGCTTTGTAAGTAAAATAGTTGAGTAATTGCTGCAAGCAAAATTGAGCAAGATATCTTCATCAAATAAAAGTTGATGTAGAAGAAGAGACAATATCGTTAGTCATCAACATAGAAAAGTTTTGCAGAGTTATCTAGTTTAACAGGACTACAGGAGTAGTATGTTGTATAACGAGATTTGCAATAAATAAAGCAGATAAAAAATAAAAAATAAAAAAAAATCAAGTAAAGTCATCAATGTTTACGACTGCCCATAATGGAGCCAAAAAATTGATCAAACTAAAACGGTTCTTCACTTCTTTTCATTTGTAGTACAAAATAGTAAATAACTCCATGGCAGTGTGAGAATGGTTTATATAAATTGAAGTACATGTTTCTAATCCAAGAGCTAACTCCTCCATTTGAAACAGAAGTTAAGGAAAGACAGACTTAAGAAACAAGTTTACAACATCAGGTAGCAAGTTTTCCCCTAGCAACATGACTTTGAAATAAGACTCCCTAAACATTCGTGACAGCGTCTTGAATATAAACAAATTTACAACCTTGCCTAAGATAGGTTACAGAGAATAGCATGAACCTATGGAAGCATGCACATATATCACATTCCTAAGAACTACAGCCAGCACTACAGGTCCACGATGATATGCATTCACTTAAAAAACTAGGATACAGAGAAGATTTTAGCATAGCAAACTTTTATTTATTACTACCTCCGATTATTTTTATATGCAACTTTGGAATATTTTACATCTCTTAAATAATACATATAAAAGTAATCGGAGGTAGTATATCAATTTATATTTCTGAGGCATGTAAAAGAAGGGTAAAACTTTTATATTCCTATTGCATTAGCTCTCAATGCAACAAGACCTTAACATAGTCATATGACGAACAAACCACAATTAATCCTGGAATTCACCAAGATCTGTAAACTCTATCGTTACCAATGCATACATCAGTACAACTAACTTATAATCATATAACTGAAGATATAGTCCACTTTGTAGTGTCGACGACCATAATTCAATTCAATATGATTATTAACAAACTAAAACAATTCATTAGTCATATAACTGATTATATAAGTCCAATTTGCAGCAAAATTCAATACAATATGATTCAAAAAGATTAAACAATTCATTAAACTAAATCCACTCGGTAGCTTTAATGATGAAATCAAAAATAATATGAACATCAACTAACTTAAATATTCAATATAACCAATGACAAATTCCCAAATAAAGATGTTACCGTCTTGACGTCCTCGAAATTGTCCTCATACTGTCCTCCAAGTTCACTGACAATCACAGGGCTTCTGACTTTCCTTTGTTTTGTTGAGCTCCTCTTATTCACAATACCCATAAATTCTTTCCCTGAATCAACAAAAGAGCTACTCAGCTCCAATGACCCAATCTGCCTATTCTTTGATTGCTTTTTACCCATCGATTTCCTGCCTAACCCGACATCTCCACCATTCTTGAGATTCATACTAGATGAATTCATGGTTTCCAAACAAATACAAGGGCAAGTATGCGAAGAATCAATAACAGGGGAAGTCAGTAAAGAGAAAGATCCCACCATTGTTCTCACAAACAAAACCCAACCCACCAAAATAACAACACCCAAATGATCAAACCCTCAAAATTTCAATGAAATGACAAATGAGATTCTCTGGGGAATTTTAACAAACAGTTGGTGGGCGTTCAAACAGGTAGAATTTTCAGGATTTTAATCTGAAAGATGCATGAACTGGGATTTAAAGGGGGTTTGTAAAGAAGAAACGTGCTTGAAGAATGGAAGATTTGGAAGAGAATTGAATGTACAAGAAGCAAAGATGTGATTTTTTTGTGAAAATTCAAACAAAAGTGATGACCAGAGAATATTATGAGGTCCAAATCTTTCCAAAGATGTAGGGTTTTTACTTATTTTGGAAGACCAAAGAAAAAAGGTTGATGTTAGTTAAGCAGTTTTCCCACACTTACAATTTGTGTTCACCTGGACGGTTAAGAGGATTCCAACGTTGTGGGGGTTGTTTAGGGGTAAAGCAACGTGTAAGTATTGAGTTTTTGGGTTCAAGGGTACTTACATTTACGTGTTAAAACTGTTCTTAATTTACTTGAACGACAATATTTGTTCAAATGGTTCAAACTTTGTGCTTTTACATTACAGGAGTAGGTTCCTTCATTGTTACTTAATTGGTCAAATCGGCATAAAATTACGAATTTGATATTTATGGTGTAAATTATTTCCTCCGTTTACAAAATATTGTTCCAATACTTATAGATCTTTGATTTCAAATTTTTTTTTTTTTTTTTTCAAAGAATAGGCAAAATATGTGGGACAAATTAGTGATGAGGGGAGAAAGAGCACAACTAGCTGTACAAGCGGAAAAAGAATTTGATTGCCAAATAGCGAATCAAGTATATGACGAACTTTTAATGGTATTCATTTCGGCACAAGCTTTTATTTGTGGAAATAGCTTTTATCAAAAGCTAAATTAAAGGTAGTTATTGATGATATAATATATACTTTTAGGGTAAATTTTTTTTTTTTTTTTTTGTATGTAACAGGCTAACATCTAATCAACAAATACTCACCGAACACTCATACTTTAATTATCAATCCTCATAGTTAACAACTATCACCACAACTAACATCTGTCACCACAGCTAATAACTACCTCACAACTACATTTTGCCGAACACACTCATATTATGTACATGAGGTGACCTTAATGGAGTGAGTAAAATCACACTTATTACTCTATTCACAAACAAGAATTATCTATAATCGGTCTTTATATTTCCCATTTATCACGGGAATTAAGGAACTTAGAGATTCCTTAAAACCCATTATTAGAAAAGATAAATGTGCATGTGGGGTTAGAGTGATAGAGAGAGAATGAAAAGGTAGTTGGTAATTATTGAAGAGATAGAGAGAGAAAGCGTTGAAAAATGATGTCAAAAGTAAAAAAAAAAATAAATAAAAGAAAATTGATGACAACTCATCAAAAAGAGGAAATAAATAGGCATGTAGTTTTGAAACCCCAAAAAGGAAAGTAGGCATGTAAATAAGGGACGGAGGGAGTATTACTTTTTTTTATAGAGGCACATATTTTCTCTAATTTATCACTCTATATTAGGCATCAACAATCTAAAAGTAAATTTAATTCATCACTCATTTATTAAGCATACCATCAACTTCAAACTCATAGAAAGCTTATATCTGACACAATGGAGATGTAAACACAAAATAGGGAAAGATTATTATGATATTTTAACTCTACTTATAAAACATAAACACTATCATAGTAAATCACACCAAAAATAAGGGCCTGTTATTTTCAATTAAATATATGTTTTTTTTTAAACCTATTTCAACTTACATAAACTTAATTTGTCATACATACAATACCTTATATACCTCTGCTAACAACTCGTTATTCTGCCCTGTCTCCACTAGTAGTACTATTGGCATCACATACCTGATAACCAAAGTATTATCGGATTGTTGCAACACAAGTCACACCTATACTTCAACATTATTTTCATTTGTAATCCACAACCAAGAGAACCTACCTTAGATTGATGTTAGATATCCCAACATCCCCTAAAGCTTTGGTCTCATTCAGAAGCGGATCGAAGTTCAAAGTAACAGAGTCAATTAACCTCACTTGTTTTTAATGAAAAATTATAGTTAAAAATATCTATAATATGTTTAACATTGAATTATTTAATATAAGAATGATAATATCTAAATATTTAGTAATATATCAATGCATATAATTATATATGTGTTAACATGTACAATACAATATTTACGTGTTGACGTAACTTTAAGATTTATAAATGATTTTACGTAATTTGTTAATACATAAATAATATTTATATTATTTGTTTTATTTAATTTTAGTTTGAATGGAAGTAAGCAATAGAGGAATGGACCCTTTTTCTTGGTTAAGGCCACTTGGAACCGTAAATGCTGCTGTGAATGTTATTGTTGTTAATAGAGCAGCTATTACACCCATTGTGTTCACATATTCTTTCATTTGCGTTGTAGGAATCCCTCACATGCTTCTTGTGCTAATCATCATAGAGTTCTCCCATAAGAACTTTTCAAACTATGCCATAAAGTAACTAAATGTTTAGATAAAAATACTTTAAATTATGTGTTTGTAATTGTTAGTAAGGGATAACATCTATTAATAACCTTAAATCTGAAAATTACTAGTGCGCTTAGGGAATGAAAAGAGTTGGTGTATGCAACTTAGCAACAAAACTTTACCTCAGGCGGAAGATACGGTAAGGCTTCTATTATATTGCCGGGTGTGTCACCCTCTTTGTTTGGTATTTCTAGAAGAGGTTGACGGTATTTGAATTTATCATTGCCTAGAAAAACCATTGCAACATCAAAGCGGTTAAATTTGATTGCGAGATGCAATGGCGAGTTTTCATCATTGTTATTTTATTTTTTCCATACAACGTCTTGCTTGAAGGAGTCGGGCACCAAGTTAATTGATGATTTTGGTAGGTGTACAAACAATTGCCACAAAGTTTGGCCTTCACGGTCCGCGAGCTCTGCTAGCTCTGGGCAATGGGAACACTACCTTTTGGCAAATTCAATGTTATTGGCTTGAATTGCTCTTAGTAAAGGGCTGAGACCGTCCTTGTCAAGATGATGGTTAGGATCCCTTAAGTTGTTATTAATAATATCATTCATCACATCCTCGTCGATTGAAGGAACTGCGGGAAAGATAAAAGTAGATGTAACATAATCACAATTACGTACGATATTGTGATCATAGAGCAAAACTTGAACTAAACTTCAAAGTACAAACTACTAAACATTACAAAAACAATATACTTCAATTCCTTCATTTTTTATTAGATGTCATTAGAGGTGGCCAGTGGGCCGGGTTGGACCCAGCCCACCCTAACTCGCACGGCTGGTGGGTCACGTGGGTCCGACCCAATTTCAATCCGGCACAGCCCGGCACAGCTCGGATTTAATCCGGGTTGTGTCGTGGGTCCAAAATTTTCGACACAACCCATTTCAACCCAGCTCAGTTTAACCCGTTTGATTCGACCCAAATCGCACAACCCGTTTTGACTCATTTAATTCGACACACCTAGCCCGTGAACCCACCTAACCCGACCCACCTGGCACAACCCAGCCCGCACGGCCCACCCGCACGAATGACCCACCCAACCCGCACGAGCCAACCCACCTAACCCGCACGCATGACCCACCCAACCCGCACGCATGACCCACCCAACCCGCACGGCCCGCACAACCCGCACGGCCCGCACAGCCCGCACAATTCGCACGGCCCGCACGGCCTAACATCCATTTTAAAAAAAAAAACGGCTAGTTTTTTGTATCTAACGGCTAGTTTTTTAAGTGTATGATCATCCATTCTATTTTTCCTATAAATACCAATTCCATTTCACTCAAATTTCCACACAAATTCAAGCTTTCTTTCTCTCTTACTTAAAAATTCTTATTGTTCTCAAATTCTCAAGTGTTATATAGAGTTATATTTTTGTTAAAAAAAATCTCCTTAATATTATTATTAGTATTCTTAAGATTCTAAAAAAAAAAAGTTCTTCTCCATATTATAATTAGTAATCATACAAAAAAAATGAGTTCAAGAGGAGGAATGGGAAGGAGTCAAAGTGGTGGTCGAAGTGGTAGCCAAAGGAGTGGTGGTGCAAATTTTTCGTATGAAATTAATACGGAAAATTTAAACCAATTTGTCAATGAATATGGAGATTATGGTTTAGGAGATAGGCAAAATATTCAAACGTCTCCACCACAACATTTCTCCCACGAGTCCCACCAATCATCAAGTTCAACTATGCCACCTCCATCGCAACCAACATCTCAACCTTCATCTCAAGGTAATTTCTAATTAAATTTTTATTGTTATGAATATTTAAAAAAACTATTATTAATGATTATAAAGTTAGTTTAGTTTCCAATTTTCTATGATTTACAATTAGTTAATTACCATGAAAAATGCGTTTAAATAAGTATAATTAAAATATTTAAAATTTAAAAGCTTATTTTCATGAATAGCATTTAAAAATTAATTTTAATAATTTGATTTATGAAAGGTGGTGGCGGTGAAAGTAGAGGTCGAGCACATTTTTCTTGGGTGTGGAAACATTTTGAACGAGTTGAGGTCACACCCCCGGGATGGCAACCTGGTCAACCAAAGAGGTTCACGTGTACATGCCTAGTTTGCAAGGCGCTAGGTGCAAATGTCAAGTCATATAATTGGAAAACGGGAGATGGAACCGGAACCTTGAGTCGGCATTTGCAAAATAAACACGACTTGTTCGAAAATGGCCCCCGTCCTTCGGGGGGTGGCGTCCAAACACAATTGGGTGGATACATGAACCAACCCGGCGGAGGTACACCTTTCATTTATAATAAAGATAGAATGATTGATGAAATGAGTACTTTAGTTATTGCTAATGAATACCCTTTTAGTTACGGTGAAAATGCAAACGTTGAGCATTTTAATAAAGTTGCATTACAACCTGCATTTACTCGTGTCCCCCGAAATACCCTAAGACGTTATACACAAACTTCTTATTATAAGTATAGGAGTGGTTTGATTGAATAATTTCGTACTTTTGATGGTCGTGTTAGTTTTACAAGTGATACATGGACTTCTAGTTTTGGCGAACCTTTTCTTTGCATTACTGCTCATTGGGTGGATGATGATTGGTTTATTCAAAAACGTATACTATGTTTTCAAGCTATGGAAGAAAGGCATACCGGTTTTAACATCAAAGTTCGTATTTTGGATTGTTTAAAAGAATTTCACTTGAATAATAAAGTTTTTTCTTTGTCTCTTGATAATGCAACTGCAAACACAAAGTGTATTGACTATTTGAAAAATGACTCCGAGTTGAATTTGTTGTTGGGTGGTAGTCTCTTGCATGTTAGATGTTGTGCTCATATTTTGAATTTGTCTGTTCAAGAGGGTCTCGCTGAGTTGCAACCATTGCTAAACCCAATTAGAACAGTTATAAAATGGATTAGGATTACTCAGTCAGTTAGAAGAAAGTACATAGCTATGTGTAAAGAGAGAGGTCTTAAGAAAAGACAATGGTCTATTGATACCCCTACCCGTTGGAATTCTACTTTCAAGTTGTTGAGTGATGCTATAAAGTATCGTGATATTTTGACCCAACTTTACAATGAGACTCGTGTTGATCCTACTGAGTTAATAACCGAAAGTCATTGGACTAATGCTTCTTTTGTTCGTGATGTTTTAAATGCTTTTGATAGTGCAACTCATATTTTCTCTTATATTTATGAGCCTAACGTTCATTTAGTCATAATTGAGTGTGTTAAAGTTGTTCACACCATCGAAGAGCATATGAAGATTGATGGACTTTGTCCCGTTCTTGATAGCATGAAACGTAAGTGGCATACTTATTTTAGTGAATTTCCAATCATTTATGGAATTGCTGCTATTCTTGACCCCAGTGTCAAAGCTGAAGGTTTGGAAAATCTTTTAGAATTTTATTATACAAGTTTAAGTATCGATTATGATGTTAGTGAATATATTAACAAATGCAAATCTGTTTTGGGAGACCTTTATGATCATTATGCATCTATTTATGGTTTTGATTTGGCAACACCAACTACTACTAGCACTTCCGATTCTAGATTTGGTTTTCTTGATAAAGTTATGAAAAAAAAACACAAAGCATCTACATCATTCTCATCATCATCTTCTTCAACACTTGCTATTAATGATTATTTGTCATATCAACATGAGACCAACAACAACTTTCAAATTATAAAATGGTGGCAAGAACATAAAAAAAGTTTTCCTATATTGGCGAGAATTGCAAAAGATATACTTGCAGTTCCCGCTTCATCTGTTGCTTCCGAGTCTGCTTTTAGTGCAGGTAGAAGAGTGTTAGATGAAAAAAGATCTCGCTTAACTCCGGAAAGCATTCAAATTTGTGTTTGTAAGAAAGATTGGGATCAAGCTGAAAGAAGAACTCAAGGTTTAAAGGAAGACAAAGACGATGAAGATGATCCTGTGATGATATTGGAGTCGTCAACGGATGATGCAGCTTCCGGGGATGATGATGCAACAAACATGGGTGGCTAGAAAAGTCTAAATCAGGTACGCTAAGAACTACGTGGGCTTTGATTCTATCGGGATACGTAGGCAACTTATTTTTCGAAAATTACAATTTAATTGCAAAATTAAATTTTAGTTTTCTAAAGATAGGTCCAAGCCCCCCCCCCCCCAAATTTCAAAAGAAGTACAATATAAGAACTACGCTGGCTTTGATTCCTTATTTTATAATATAAGGATACGTAGGCATCTTAATTAAGAGCAAGCCATCAAATTGTTAATTTTGTAAAAATTAAAACACCACACAACCCACCCGACCCTAACCCACGAACCCACCCGACCCTAACCCACAAACCCACCCGACCCTAACCCACCTACCCCACAAACCCACCCGACCCTAACCCACTAACCCACCCGACCCTAACCCACCTAACCCACAAACCCACCCGACCCTAACCCACTAACCCACCCTTCGACCCACCCTAACTCACTAACCCACCTTGACCCGTCTAACCCACGAACCTAGCTCGACCCACCCATGACCCGTCTAACCCACAAACCCAGCTCGACCCACCCACGATCCGTCTAACCCACAAACCCAGCTCGACCCACCCACGACTCGTCTAACCCACGAACCTAACCCTGGTGTGTCCAACTTCTCCGACCCAACCCACGACCCGGCCCACCCTACCCTACGTGTGTCGTGCCGTGTGTCATGAAACCCCAACCCGCGACCCACCTAACCCTAACCCAGCTCGCACGACTCGCACGGTGGACACCTCTAGATGTCATACTTTCCTAAAAAGGAAATCTGGAATTAGATGTTTTACTTTTTTTTTTCAATAGTTTCTCTTTATCTCTCTCCAATCACATGGACCATAATATTTTTTTTCTATCTCTCTCCTACCTTTAAATTGCATTGGAGTCCGAGAAAAAAAAAATAGTATAACATCTAATAAAAAAACAAAGGAGAAAGTAACTTTCAAAGATGTATGTAGAAGTATGATTACCTTTTAGTTATAGGTAATTCAGTAATATAATTCACATCATGTGGCCACTAGTGAATTGTGAATAATGTTTGTACTGTATATCAAATTAAAGTACTACGACATGTTTGATTATCAAATTATAGGACTGCATATAATGACATTATATGCCGTCCTAAGAGCGGCTATATATACAATTATACAAACATTATTATTTTCTAAATTAGTATATATTTAGTAATTTATGACAAAAACATGTTTTTTTTAAAAAAACTTCTCTTTTTAGCTTCTTATATGCATCCCTTTAGGTTTTTCCAATCAACTACATTTTTTTCCGGTTTTTTCACCATATACTCCTGAGATTTTTATTTATTCACCATATATCTATGAAAATTTTCAAATTCATCATATACTCCCAAGTTTACACAAATATACACGATAAATGTGTAAATTTGCTACTCTGAAAGTATTCATAAGATTCTAGCTTCACAACTGAAAGCTTTATGATTGACGAAGGAAATACGTACTCATTTGTTTTTACTAGTTTGATAAGGCTAATAAATGGGAGAGTGTTACTCTCTAAATTAGAATAATGATTGTGTTAATGTGCATATCAAATGTAACACTTACTCCGTATTTGAATTTGTTGCATACATTCAATTTTCTCTTTACCAAACAACCTCTTAAATTTGAGAGTGTTGAATTTGTTGTATACTCATATACTTCCTCAGTTCCCGATATACGTGTACACTTGGTTTTATTTTGATGTTCCTAAAATAATTGTACATTTGCACTTTTAAAATCTATCGTAGATGAATAAATTAATTTAGAATGGCTCAAAGTGGATTTAATTTTGGTGTTGGGGTTTCTTCAGGTGGTGAGGCAATTCTTCATGCAGTGAATCGATTGATTGAGGACCGTGGTTCTGATGTTGGTCTTTCTATGTTGTTGGTTGATTTTCAAAATGCCTTCAATCTAGTTGATCGTACAGTCATGTTACGTGAGGTTCGTCGCCGTTGTCCGGGCATTTCACGATGGGTTGAATTCTGCTATTCTAATCCAACCAGATTGTATTATGGGGACCAAACCTTATGGTCGTCTCGGGAGGTGCAGCAGGGTGATCTCCTTGGTCCTTTGCTTTTTGCTTTGAACCTCTGGTGTGTAAAATCAGAGACAATTTTGATGTATATCTTCAGGCTTGGTATTTGGATGACGACTGTTATTGGGGACACGTTGGTGGTGGGGAAGGTTCTGCAGTTGATTATGGAGGAAAGACCTAGGGCTGGCAAACAGGTCGGGTCGGGTCGGGTTCAGGTCGACCTGTTTACATAAACGGGTCAGGACCCCCCAACCTGAACCCGACCTGTTTACTTAAACAGGTCAAAATAACCAACCTGAACCCGACCTGATTATAAACGGGTCGACCTGAACCCGACCCGCCTAAATCTGATTTTTTTTTAATTAAAAAAAAATAAAATAAAAACCTGTAATTTACTAATTTCTTTATACTGTAATTTTTTTAACCTGTGATTTGACTAATTTCTTTAACCTGTAAGATTCAAGTATTCAAGACTTCAAATTCAACACATAATTCAAGCAAACATAACTTAACAACATAATTCAAGAGTTACATGTCCAAAATACTTCCAAGTAGGCAAATAAAAGTTCAACTAGAAAACCAAATACATGTCCAAAATAACAGTTTCGTTGGCGCTTGAAATGAATTCCAGGCTTATTCAGCGAGGTGACATTAGAGGTTTTCTTCTTTGATTTCGTTTGATGAGAATCAGAAACTTCATCATCTGAATCAGAATCTGGAAGATCAATGGGTTCATCAGGATTAGGGCTATTAGCCATCTGTGAATAAATTAAAAAAAGAATTACACTCATATCCGAAGTATAAACATGAAAAACAGAAGTATAAACTCATGAGTCATGACATAAAGAATCAAACTCATGAAATTGCAGAGTAAGAAAATCAAATCAGGGCAAAAAATCGCATAAACAAATCGCAAATAATCGCAAAATAAGTAAATAACAAATCAAATCTTCGAAAGAAATTGCAGAGTAAGAAAATAACAAACGAACAACATTAAATGATTAAATCACATAAACAAAGCATACATAAACCATAATAGCAAAAAATCGCTTAAAAAATCAAAGAAATCTGAAAATTGCATAACCAAATCAAGGAAATTGCATAAACAAATGACTCATGAGCAAACAAACTCATAAAAAATCGAATAATAGGATTATTACCTTCAGAATGTTTGAGATGAAGCTTCAATCTTCAAGGTTCAAGAATTTTTATTTCAATCTTCAAGAGTTAGAGAGAGAAACTGAGAAGAGAGAGAGTTTGAGTGAAAGTCTGAAAGAAAGCGGCGAGAGAAAGAGGAAATTAGCTTAGGGTTAGATAATTTGGGCTTGGCCCATATTTTAAAATTAGGGTTTTAAGTTAAGCGGGTTGGGTTCGGGTTGACCCGACCTGAAACCGACCCAATTAAATAAACGGGTTTATGCGGGTTGGTTTCGGGTTGAGATTTTCAACCTGAACCCGACCCATTTAACTTCAGGTCGGGTTCGGGTTGACCCAATTACATAAACGGGTTGAAAATCTCTATCAAAACCCATTTATTTTGGGTTGGGTTAGGGTCGGGTTGTCGGGTCGGGTCAGCTTTTGCCAGCCCTAGAAAGACCTCATTCTGGGCTACATCTTAACGTGGAAAAAACTGAAGTTTTCTAGCTTGCTAAAAACCCTTGAAGCAGACTTGTGGGTGTCTTTCCACCTAATATTGCTCGACCTTTGTGTGATATTAAGTTGCTTGGTGGTCCTGCTAGTTCTGATTTTGGTTTTAATGGTGAGCTGGTGATACAGAAGGTGACCAAGACAATTGCGCTTATAGATAAGGTTGCTATGCCGGATGATCCTCAGTGTGAGCTGTTGTTACTTAGGGCATGTACCGTAGTTTCTAAACTCTACTTTGCATTGCGTACTTGTCCTCCAAGTACTTTTAAGGCGGCTCAGCGTACATTCGATGGGGCTCTTCGATCATCCTTGGAGCGTATTGTTATTGCTTCGGGGCCTGGGTTTGGCGATTGGCAGTGCGGCTTGCACCTTACCATTTGCTTTCGGAGGGCTTAGTGTTTATGCCGCAGGTGATGTTCGTCATTATGCTTTTCTGGCTTCTCGGTTACAGTCTGCTGGGTTGCAAACACAACTTCTACGACACGCTGGCATTGTTGGTCTTAGACGAGCCTTTGAGGATGCGTTGTGTTTGTTTAATGGAACGGCAGAGTCTGACATCTTGAGTAATCCTAGTGAGGTTGTTGCTCCTAAACTCATGAAGAAATTGGCAAATATATATTTTACAAAGGTTACCGCTTCTGCAGAATCCACCTATTCTTTACCTCCTTGACAATCAGCATTGTGGAAATCACAGTAAGGATACCACACCTCTACTTGGCTTCTGGTGGTCCCTATTTTGGGGTTGGGTTAGATGATGAACGCCAAGACTTACTGATGTGTGTTGTGCTACCAATTGGGTGTTCCATTGTTCTCTATCACGACGTCGTGCTCTGCTTGTTCAAGAATTTTTACTGGAATATTTTCAGTAATCATGCGGTGTCTTGTGTTGGTATTGTGGACATTAAACATCGGCATAATGTTGTTCAGGATACCCTTATTGATGTTTGCTATCGGTCAGGGATTTCAGCTAGAAAGGAGGTGGACATTGGGTTGTTTGAAGGGAACAACGGAGCCCTCAGACTTGCAAATGTGTTACTTTATTCCTGGGATCGTGGTCGCGATGTTTGTGTTGACTTGACAGGGTCTTTTCCTTTGACACAGTCCGTGTTATCTGACTTTGTTCCTGGACGAGTTGTGGCTGATGCGGCCCATCAGAAGCGGGTCAAGTACGAATCCAATTGTCGAGCAATTGGATATGACTTCCTTCCTTTCTCATCCTCTTCACTTGGGGAATTAGAAAGGGAGGTTGTTACGTTGCTGAAGCAGTTCTAGAAGTTCTCGAAGACTCAGGACATTAGGGCATGTGTTGCTGCTCATATCTTCACTATGATAGGTTTTGTAATAGCTAGAGGAGTGGGGGCCAGATTGTATCTCGACTTCCCACTAATTTTTTGTAGGTTGTATGACTTTGTCTATTTTTGAGATATAATAATAATAATAATAATAATAATAATAATACCAGTAAAAAAATAAAATTTTAAATAATAATAATAATAATAATAATAATAATAATAATAATAATAATAAATGGGTAGATTAATCCTCGGGATGGTGTAAAAAAGAGTGGGATGGAAATTTGAAAAGAAAAACTTACTTTCTTTAGTAGCAGCAGCAGCACAGTGTTTGATAAGAAGATGAAGGGGAACTTTCATGTCGTCGTTGACAACAGCAGCCAAAGAATGATCCTTCTCCACAAAAAGAGATGCAATATCAAGGTGACCATAGATAAGTGCCACATGAAGAGGCGTATTTCCATTCGAGTTCTTCATCGTCAGAGGCCTCATATTATCCGTTAGCTGCTCGCATTGTATCCTTACAAGTTCTGTGTTTCCCACCTCAGCAGCAATATGCAGTGGGTTGTTTTTATCAGAGTTCTCCTCACACCGTAGTTGGGGGAATTCCTGCAGTGCAGCTTCCGCAAAACTAAGCTGCTTACTTCGAATAGCTATGTACTATATTATTTTTTCCATGATGGGTTTTCGCAAAAAGATATATACTGTGAATGTTTGTATTAATGACTTCATTGTTGCCGTTCAAAACTGCATTGTACAGCTCTTTTGCCATTACTTCTTCTCTTCCCGATGATGAGTTTTCCGCGCCTTAATTTTGATTTCTTTCACTTTTTTTTTTTACTTTTTTTTTTTACTTTTTTTTTTTTTTTTTTTCTTACTTTGTTTTTGTTTGTGCAGTGAGGAAGAGTGCCTTTTCTTTGCTTAGCTGAAATTCAACTTTGGTAGACCAAAATGTTCGTTGCACTAATATAATATGGTGTGTGAGTATGCGCATATAATATGGCTATTTTTTGCTAATAAAAGTTTAGACCAGTGTAGCACAAACAAAGACTTTCTATACTTAGAAAGTTAGAAGTCTTCTTCTTACCTCGGTAAAAAAAAAAAAAAAAAAAAAATCTTTGTACGTTTCCCGAAACCATGACATGTGAAAGTTAAACTACCGTTGTCGTTACCCCTAACTTTTTTTTTAACGTTACCCCTAACATTACTTCCTCCTCTCTCTCTCTCTCTTTTTTTTTTTTTTGAATTCCCCACCATTTGGCATTGTGCATTTGTGCTATACTGATATAGTGATATCTATTTTAAACTTATTTGAACTTATTGAATACTTATTATTGAAACTCATTGATACTTATTTGTATATATTAATATTCATTAAAAGTAGTGGTAATATGTTTTTCAACTTATTTGTACTCATATGCAAATATCTTAATAATTTATATATATTTATTAATATGATAATTATAGATTATTCAATAAGTACTATAGATAAGATTAAGAGAACAAAACCTACCTTCACACTTGTTATATACCATATTACCATCATATATCAACACTACAACAAATTGCAACTTCTGCCACGTTAAAAATCATGGCACAAGTTAAAAATTCACATGGCTATGTAGTTTAGCCACAGGAATTCTCAAAAAATTCCAGTGGCACAAGTGGCCATAACTAAGATTTTGCCACAATAAAATAAGGGTGTAGCATGAATTGATTTTTATGCCACATATATCCCCGTGGCTAAAAGATAGGATTGCCACGAGTACTCTCATGGCTAACAAACCTCTAGCCACAAGAATTATCGTGGCTAAATAATTGCTTTTGCTACAAAAATTACTGTTACGATCTATGATATATGTTGAAGATTTGATTTGGTTTGATTATTTGGTTAGGATACTCTTAGTTGGCAAGGATAGATTTATGTTAAGTAGATAATATTGTTAATATTCTTGCCATACTTATCTTGTACATCATGCATGCTATATCTTTTGGCCAAGAGCCATGAATACAGTCAAGCATATTATTCTTCTTCAATATTTCACATGGTATTAGAGGCTTGAATTTTTTTACAGTAAACCACAACAATGGCCGGTGATACACCGCCACCACCTCTACCACCACCATAAAAAATAGAACCAAATTCCCCGTTTTACCTAGGATCGCAAGATCGTCCAGGTGATTTTATAACCCCGACTCGCCTTAAGGGTGATAACTATGATGATTGGGCCGCCGATATTCGTATGGCATTAGAGGCGCGACGAAAGTATGAATTTTTAGATGGCACAATAACTGGTTCGACCCCTCCTTGTACTTAGTCGAAGTGGAATACCATAAATGCTATGTTAGTCTCTTGGATAACTAACAAAATTGATCCGGATGTCAATTCTACCTTGACTAAATATCGTGAAGCAAAGAAGCTATGGGATCTAGGGCCCTTGATATATCGTGAAGCAAAGAAGCTACTAAAAGAAGCTATGGCTTTCAAAGGTTATTTGGGAGATTCTTTTAAAATGAAAGATCTAAGGCCCTTGAAATATTTTTCTTGGCATTGAGGTTGCTCGTAGTGCGACAGGTTTATTTATGTGTCAGCGTAAGTATACGCTAGACATTATTTCTGAGGTTGGCTTGATAGGTGCAAAGACTAGTGGTTGTCCGATAGAGGAACATCATAGATTGGGACATGCGAATGGAGAGTTACTGGCGAATTCGGAGGCCTATCGTCGACTTGTTGGTCGATTAATTTATCTTGCGGTGACAAGACTGGACCTAACTTATTCCGTGTACATTTTATCTCAATTTATGTAGTGTCCTCGAACAAAGCATTGGGATGCTGCTCTGCGTGTGGTTCAATACTTGAAGGGTACTCCTGGGCAAGGCATTTTGCTTCGGGCAGACAGTGATTTGACTCTTCTAAGGGTGGTGTGACTCAGATTGGGCTACTTGTCCAATCACTCGTCGATCTATGATAGGTTGGTTAGTGTTCTTAGGCCAATCTCCAGTCTCATGGAAGACAAAGAAACAGCATACGATATCTACGTCGTCAGCAGAGTACCGCTCTATGGCAGCAATTACTTGTGAGCTGAAATGGTTGAAAGATTTGTTATTGAGCTTGGGAGAGCATCATCCCAAGGCTATTCCATTGTTTTGTGATAGTCAGTCAACTCTACACATTGCTAAAAATCCGATTTTTCATGAAGAGCCAAGCACATTGAAATTGGTTGTCATTTTGTGCGAGATGCCATTACTGATGGTATTATTGCTCCATCATATGTACCTACAAATTCTTAGTTGGCGGACATCTTTACGAAGACGCTTGGCAAATGACATTATGATTTCCTATTGTCCAAGTTGAGCATTCTAGATCCTCACCATGCTCCAACTTGAGGGGGGGTGTTACGATCTATGATATATGTTGAAGATTTGATTTGGTTTGATTATTTGATTAGGATACTCTTAGCTGGCAAGGATAGATTTATGTTAAGTAGATAATATTGTCAATATTCTTGCCATACTTATCTTGTACATCATGCTATATATTTTGGCCAAGAGCCATGAATACAATCAAGCATATTATTCTTCTTCAATATTTCACAATTACCGTGGCTAAAAATTTACTTTGCCACAAAAATTGTAGTGGCTAAAAGGTAAATTTGCCACAAAAAGTTAGTTGATTTGATTGGCATCTAGCATAGTGTATGACAGAGTTTGTTCAACTTTCGATTATTAGGTTCTTGACTAATTTTATTTTTTCTGAGAGCTTTCCATTCTATAACTTGTCTATTAACCCTAGGAATAGATTTAGGCTTCGATGTTACTGTACTTTACCTTCCTGATCTACTTGGGTTATGGCTCTGTTCTTGCATAGTTGCATTTGACCTTTAATTGTTCACATACATTAAAGTTTAGTTAAGACTAGATGGTAGTACACTTAGGGGAAAAAATACATTTTTATGTAAATTCTACCAAGATAGGTCTTGATTTTGGCCATTGCTATATATTGTTTGCAGAGGGTAGGATGACAGTTATCTTGTTATCCACTTTTGAGTCTGAATAGAAGAGGCCAAGAGGTTACTTTCCTAAAATGATTGGCAAAAATTATTATGAGTATTACTGTAGACCGATTCCATATTTTCATATGAGATTTTGTAATGTTATTTCTTATTTGCGATAGCAAAGTATCAGACTTTGATATTAATTTCTATGATTCTATTTAAGTCATCACATAATGGATATTTAATTTTTCCTAAAATGGTTGCATAATATGGGGTATACAGTTATATTATGGACCAATTCCACAAGATTTTATGTTAAATAAGTAAATAAAAATTGAAGATCAAGATCATTAACTCCCTACCTTTTACGTATGATTCTTTGTTATTCATTGCAATATTGCATAGTAAATGAATATCTTATTTTTCCCAAAATGGTTACATAAATTATGAAAATTTTATAGTGATCATTTGTTGACCTATTATCCTACTTGTGTAATGTATCTTCCACACAAGTAAAATTTAATTAATAATTAGTACTCGTAGCAAGTTTTAGTGTTAGAGACACTAGGAAAAATGGCAGCCTTTTCAAAAAAATTCATGTTAATTCTTTGTATTCTACTCTCATATCTTCGTCCATTATTCTGCAGTTTTGAAGGTGAATTATTTCTCTTAGATACAAACTATTTTATCCAAGATATATGTAACAAAACCCGAGACAGAGACAATTGCCATTCGATTTTCATGCACAACATACAACATGAAGGCAAAGGCATAGATGATAACGAAGGTTTAACATCGGTAGCCATTGATCAAATGTTACAAATTTTGTATGAAAATTTGCAGTATGTACAAAGTGAAAAGAAGAAGATGATGCAGATGATTAATTACACAAGTATACACGATGACAAAGAGAGCTTTAGTTGGGACTTCATTACGTTTATTGAGAGGAATTACTTTGAGATGAAGATGGGAATTGAAGAGGCAAGAAAGCAGGTGATTAATACTCCTATTAGGAATTTTCATACTAAAAAAAAAGTCGACGAAGCATATGCCAAAGCTAAAGAATTAGTAGTTTATGAGATTGGGAATTGTGAAAATATGGTGGATGAAGTTATTGGTGATTTGTTCTTGGATTCAAGTTTAATTCACGGTATTATTGAAAGAAATCAAATTCTTGGTTTGTTGATTGAGATGTTTGTTGGTGCTAGTGAAAATTTAGCGTGGGTGCAAACTGGAGATGACGAAAATGAGGGAAAAGGGTTCAAGCAATTTGTGTTTTATGTATGGCTTTTATACCTTGTCGGAGCTTTTGGATGCTTTGTTCACAATACTCGTGATTTATATGTTGCTATGTTTGGTCGCGATGGGTTCAAGCATGGATGCTTAATTTACAGTGCTCATGATTTATATGTCGCTATGTTTAGTAGCGATGGGTTCAAGCGATTTGTTTGTTGTGTGTGGTTGTTTTGTCTCGTCGTTATCTGTATGTGTTTCATTTACTTTACTTATGCTTCATATGTTATTGTATTTGGCCGTGAAGACTAAAGTAGTAAAGTAGCATGTTTATAAACCAAGGAGGATTACTTGTTCTATTTTCCGGTGCTGCTGGTGGTGGTGGGTGGTGGTTTCTGTGCTGTTGCTGGTGGTGGGTTATTTAGTTAATTTTTTTTTTTGGTTGGATTAATAGTTAACTATATGCCTTTATTTTTCAATAACTATGCTTAAGATCTTTTGCCTAGGTTTTCGCAAGCCCCTCTTTATTGCGAGTAACAAGAATCGAATGTAGTATTAACAAATTTACAATTTATTTATTTATTTATTTTTTTGTTATAAAAGTAGTTGAAATTTCGATATAAGCTATTTATATCATATCATTGGTATGAGTAAACAAAACCCTATACGAAACATAATAAATTGGAAATTTTAAAAAGCTATTCAATTTGTTAATAAAAGTAAATAAAAAAATATATGAAACTAGTAGAAGAAAATAGAACATTACGAGAAGGTCAAGAACCTTTTTTCTCTTTTGCAAACTTTTAAACTCGCTTAAATGATAGTCCTTGGCGGGTCTAATCACGACATCAAGCTAAGATTATCCTCAATATATCCTTCATATGGAGTACTACTCATCGATTTTGTTTCGAAAACAATTCAATGATTAAAACTTATTTTTGATGAGAATCAATCCCATGATTCCCTGAAATCGAAAGGGAAGCTCTAATCACCTAAGCTATCTCCCACTCACAACGGACAAACATTTAAAAAAATCGGATGTACAATAAATTATTGTACATCTGCTATATAGTTACCTTAAAATGATCAAAAATTACCCTGTAATGAATGAAAGTTTCCCTATATATATTATAAGTTATCCTGATATAAATAAAAGTTATTTATACTTTATTGATAAAAATTACCCAAAAAAGTCTAAAAGTTACCTTAAAACCTTAAATTCAATAAAAGTTACCTCGATGTACAATAATATTACTGTACATCGGATGTATACAAAAGTTTTTGTTTATATACAGACTATACTACTGCAGGTCTAATAATTCTACACTATGAAAAAAACCTCGCATAAGATATGTACATATCAGAACATGAAATTAGACCGTTCTACCTATCAGACACAAAAGTTCTTTCTATGGCCAAGAATTCAGTTGTGAACTCATCATCATTCTTGGCTAACATATCTTTCAGGCTAATGTTTATATTTCTGCTTCTTAGCAATAGAAACCTTGGCTTTATTTTCTTTTCCATTGAGTAGCTGAAATACCTGGGATAATCCACAACGTCCTTCACTGACTTGCCCATGGTGTAGACCAGGAACTGCAATTTTGGCCTCAATACTTCCTCAATGCTGTACCCAAGAAGAGGAGAGAAGCGTACAATCATTGTAGCAATATGTCTCTCAGTTAACCCAGAGTTCATCAAGTACCTCAGTCTGTTATACACGGAGAATACATAAAATCAGTTATGCGAGTATGACTGGAAAACTTTCCAAACTAACTTTCTGCGGTAATGATTCAATTGGTATGGTATGTGATAGCATGCTTTGTGCGCCCACTATCTGTGGCAATATGTTTAAACAGCACTTTGGTAAAAGTAAATATGCAAAGCCAGTTCAGAGCTTCACCTTGGCTTGATGGTACTACCCACATCAGATATCAAAAACTCAGGGTATTTTTTTATTACCCGAGGGAGATCTTTTTTTGATATGCCCAAGCTAGTCAAGAATTCAAGCTTTTTCTGAAAAGTTTCCACAGTTCTTGTAGCAAAAATTTCAGGGCACCGAGCTAGGATTGTACCAATGCTCTCCTTGTCAAAACCCATATCTTGCAGAAAAATAACCACCTATATAACCAAAAACGTTCCACTTAGACTATAATGAACAGATGAAACAGCCTCCCGAAAGCAATGAACCGAGAAAAGAACAGGTGGTACATGACTCATTGGGCATGAGAAGAAGAGAGCAGTTTTGATAAAAACAATAGAAGACAAGGAACAAAAGTTTAGCAGCTCTAATCAATGCTGATTCAAATGCAAAAGATGTCTTCAGAAATATCATATCAGCAGCAACAAAGTAAAGAATAAATGTTTAAGCAGAAGTGCAGAACAGCCCATAGAAAGAAAAAAAATATATTAAAATAGAACAAGCAGCACCAAGTTACCTTCCGAAACTCCTCGGGTCGCCGCAGTAGAAGCTGAGGACTTGTAGCTATAACCTTACCTAGTTTTGTAGTTCTCACACCTTGGTCATCTAATTCTTCTATCATTGGCTTCAGCTTGCTTGCTGAACAGCCCAGCAGAAGTGGCCAGTCCCTAATTGCTCGCTCTATGCTCACTTTTGGTATCTGCCATGAACAGATTCATCCATAAATAAAAGCAATCATGAGTATGCTGCTGATACTGTTAAGTGCTGTTGGACATCTACAGAGGCCTTAACCCTGTGAAGGAAGGGGGTTGGGATGCACATGACCTTGGATTCTTAAACAAGTTTAATTCAAATAGCCCAACACTAAACCATCAACAACCAAAAGACAACAATCCATAAACGCAGTAACAGATAATATAAATTGAAATGCAGGAAAAAGAAAAGAAAAAAAAAAAAGAAGAATAAGTGTATCCAACATTGAATATGTTTAATCACAATTGATATTTTCAGGCTAAACCACTACGAAAGTCTGGAGACATGTTTACAAGTTTTGAATTTCAACAATATGCATAAACTACAATACGAAGGGCCACACATTCACAGCAAGTGGACTTGCTGCACCAAGAGGATGATTATATTGGATTACAAGCATTATTTGTCAGAAACAGAAACTAAGAACTGACACTGAGGCCATGGCTTCTTTTCTACATAGTAAATATCTAAATACACTATACCCTATAACTCTGCACAACAATGTTTTACCAAGAGGATAGTCAGTTATCTTGCATATTATTTACAATGCAATCACATAGGTCATGGAAAAAATATATCGATGAAGATAGCTACTGATGTGAACACATCAGGTTTGTAACACCTTACCTTCTCAGTTTCAAAGAAAGCCAAAATATCATTATAATTTTTCTGAATGCTTTTTGACAGCATCCAAGGATATTTCGCCAACATCCTGCCTAATTTTTTGTCCAGTGCTCCAACCTAGAAGACAGAATAAGTATTAATTATCAGTAAGACAAAGTAGGCAATAGCAAAAGTCATAATGCAAAATCATCCCTGAGAACGCAAAGTGCGTGATAGCACAGACAAAAGTTAGCAGGGGCAAGACTAAGTAAACTTCACCAAACAAGTAAATTACATTATTGGCAGAATGATCTTAGAATGCACCAGACAAGTAAAATTCATTATTGGCAGAATAAACTCAAGAGTTTTATTCAAGATGCCACAATGCCAGTGCATTTCAAGTCATACAAAGTTTCTGGAAGAAGAAGCATAAAATTTTATAAGTACCAATATCTATGAAGGTAAAAATCAACCATAGAAAAAATTATATATTTATTTTTACCATCTCAAATGTCCACGATCCAGCTCGAATTTCTTCTTCAATGTCATGAAAAAATAGTGGAGGAAATAGTAGTAAAACATCTCCCATGCATTCTCTTGGAACTCCAACATTCTCCATGAAGTTCATCATTGGTTTCATATTCGACTCTACTGATAGCAGAAGAATGCGAGGAAATGACTCAATGAGATACCTAAAAGAAGCGTCATATGATCCTAACATATTCAAACCACCACGTCTTGCTTCAATCTGTTGGAGCAACAAGGGAAGCAACCCTTAAATACAACACAGAAAAGCATACTTCCTCCGTTTCTTTTTAGTTGCAACAATTACCAAAAATAGAAATTTCAAATTAATTGCAACAAATGTTTTCTTTCCTAATTTGCAAGTCTCTTGTTCCTATCTCTCTCTTCATTATAGGCCCCACTTTCTCTCCCCATCCATTTTCCTCCCGCAATAAAATATTGCCTAGGAGTCCACCCACTTGAGTTTGTTGCAATTAAAACAAAACGGATGAAGTATTAGTATAACTAGATAATTCACGAGCAAATGCTCAATTATTAAATAATGTACGAAGTACTCTTACATAAATCAAAACTTGATCTTTACTAAATACAATTATTCAAAAATCAGGTTTTACTTATGATTAAAAAATACTATCTATAGTTAATTAGTTATATATCAATTAATCAATATGTAAACTTCTATTTTCAAAGCACATTCATTAACTTATATTCATTAAGGGGAATTGGGAGGGAAATTTGGGAGGGAAAAAATGAAAGGGTGGTTGTCGCTTCAATAGTAGTTAAGGACTAGTGTCATGAACTGATGCTTTTGGCAAACCAATGGGTTGAAAGACAGTTTAAGGAGACAGAATTGAACTACAAACCCTAAGTTTCAATATAAGCTATTTTGATTTTTGATGTCATGAATATTGAACATAATGACGCAGTTCTTGATTTAAAAATTTGAGGCCATTGTCATTCATTAATATCAATAATCCAACAAATTTAATCCTCAGGGCTCCCTTTAACCCGGAATTAAATCCACCACTTCTAAGTTCTAACAAATACTACGTATTAAGTAACCAAAATGTAAACCAGCTTCAAAGTCACAAGAGATTAGGGCTTCTATTTAACTACCAGATATATACACACACCGACACACACACAATACTTAGTGACGAAAACTCACCTTTTCAAAGAATGATAAAGTTTGTTGCAAATCCTCATCTATTGAAATTGAAAGGTACTGCATCATACGACGGGCGCGCTTACCAATTTGTCTTTTGTCATCACTGCCAGAAAAACATATTTCCTTGACATACAAAACCTATAACAAACACCATATAAGCAGCAATCCAGAAAGTGCCTTTTACACCATACACTGAAGCAACCCAGTTAGCTAGCAGCAAGTTAAGATGCCACAGCTATTGGAGACATTGGAAGTGCTCAACACTTCAGCAAAAGACCCCAAGAATTGTTTCCTTCCCTTTTATAACCATGAAAGAAAATGAAGAAATCATTGCAACAAAAAGATCAATGATAGTCACTTCTCTCTCCTCTATCAGAGGAAGGTGATTACAAGTTGAAAAGGAATAACTAAAGTAGTTTAAGCACTTATACAGACAATTTCAATTATAAAGTGTCGAAAAATGAATGAATTACTACTGCCACTTCACACTACAACCAGCAGTTCAGATGTCAGTTCATCAATTCCACAATCCAAAATCAAGTTTTATTCTGAATAGCATTACTTTTATTTGTAAAATACTAGGCCAACAAGGCGAACTTCAACCACCACGCCCACCAAGCTCATGATGGAAGATATTTAGTTTCGCAATTTTCCAATACATGAAGCCAAAAGTCCTAGAACATGAGCATACTTAAATAATTAAGCTTACAATTAGTAGCAGCTTCTAACATATCTTCCTCTTCCTACATCAATACCAGAATCACAATTCAAGAGCTTAACAATTGTCATTTACCCTTCAAAAAAGGGTTATTTATGAGACTTAAAAATACCCAAAAACCAAAATCAAATGCATAGCCTAACATCAAAATTTTGCTTCTTTATGACATCAATCAACCAATCTATCAAAGCCTTATTCCAAGAGCAAAAAATGGCTATTCCGTGTAACCATCAACAAAGCTCCCCTATCTAATTCTAATGCAAATCCAGAAATAAGACTAACAAATAAAACCTCATTCTAATCCAACAATCAAAAGCTCATTCTAATCCAAAATAATTGAGCAAATAAAAATTACGGAGTATTAAAACAAAACATCAAAAACCCAGAAAAAGATATTCAAGTAAGACTAACAAACCTTATGAATGAGAGAAGAAAGAGACTGAGATGAAAGAAGGCGAGCAAGATGAATAGCAGAAGCAAGACTCAACCCAAGACTCTCCAAATAAGGGATTTTCCCATTATCACCTTTCTCCTTAGCAATGTACTTAATCTTCTCCTTCAAAGTGAGGGGTGCCGCCGCCATTTCCACCTTCATCCAAGAGTCCCACAACGACAGCTCGTCGAGCTCCGAAACACTATCCCTCAGCATCTTAGCATACTGCGGCGCCTTACAAGCGATTTGTTCCGAAACAATTTGTGGTTCCACCCCGGCTTCGGATACAACCTCGGCAATGCCTTTCACAACTTCGCTCTCGTCTTCGCCGCTTTCGGGCGGCGAAGACAGAGAGGAAGATGGCGGGCGAGGGGAGTGGGATTTTAGGGTGAAATTGGTGTTGCTGTGAGAAAGTGGTTTGAGACATTGATGATGAAGAAGAGGAGGAAGAAGATGATGATAAAAGAGGTTGTAATTTTGGTGAAAAGTTGAAGAAGAAGATGGTGGAAATAGTGGAGAGAATGACATTGTTGAAATTGAAGGTAATACCATTTGATTTTTGATTTGCTGAGTTTGGTTCTGTCACATTTATTAGTTTTTTGAGTAAGTGTACCTCGCAAAATCAAACCCGACCCAATATCGACCTGGAAATCGACCCGAAAATTTTGGGTCATGAATTAAAATCAGGGTTGCTAAATACAACCTTCATCTACTTAATATACCCTTTTAAAAAACCAAATGTACCCTTTCCTTCCTCACTCTTTCCTAGGAATTACTTTGAGATGAAGATGGGACTTGAAGTTGCAAAAAAAAAAAGTGATTAATACTCCTATTAGGAATTCTCATACTAAAAAAAGTTGATGAAGCATATGCTAAAGTTAAAGAATTAGTAGTTTATGAGATTAGGAAGTGTGAAAATATGGTGGATGAAGTTTTTGGTGATTTTTTCTTGGATTCAAGCCTTATTGTTAAAGGGAATCAAATTTTGGGTTTGTTGATTGAGATGTGTTAGTGGAACTAGTGAAAATTTAGCATAAATGCAAACCGGAGACCACGAAAACGAGAGAAAAGGGTTCAAACGACTTGGTTTTTATAGTAGTATATGGTTGTATGGGCTTGTCGGAGCTTGTGCTTTGTTGATTGAATTTACTCGTGATTTATATGCCGCTATGTTTGGTAGTGAACGGTTCAAAGGATGAGGGCCTTCTTTCTCTTTTGCAATTTAAACTTGTTTAAATGGGCAGCTCTTAACCGCTCCATTCACGACATCAAGCTAAGATAGTCCCCAAGATATCCTTTATACGAAGAACTGCTCATCGATTTTTGTTTTGAAAACAACTCATGATTAAACTTTGACGGTATAATATTATTACACTATTGTATAGTTATTAACATTACTCGATTTGTTTTCTTCAAAAACAATTACTCGTTTTATTTTCTCCAAAAAAATTACTCATTTAATTTTTATATTTAAAAAAAAAAAAAAAAAAAAAAAAATAGGTCAACCTTGCAAAAGCCCATAACTTTTGTAAACTTAAAGCCCATAACATTGAAACTTAAAGCCCATTCAATTAATAAAGACTCCGAAGAACACGAGCTCCTGGAAAACACCCTAGAAATCAGCAAGAAAAAACAGGAGAGAGAAACTGTTAGAGAATAGAGAGAGAAAATTCAAGGGTTTCAGACGACAAATTTCCTGAATTCTAAATACGATGTTTTACAACAGAGGAGGGTAAGTCTATTTTGTTTGATTTGATTTTTCTGCGAAATATTTGATTTTAATACTATATAATTTTTAATTTTTTTGATAATCTTGCATTGATTTTTGCTTATTTTACATTTGATTATATTCTTAGTGTTTTATAACTTAACACTTTGAGTATTTCGTATGATTTTGCTAGCTGTTTAAAGTCGGGTATCTGAATGATGTTTCATAGATTCAATTGATATATGATAGGAAGAAAAGCTTGGGAACTTGATAATTTTTTAATTGATAAAATTAGGGTTGATTTACTGTTATTATGATTCTTTTTTGGGTATTTTTGAAGCTGAAATATGCGAAAGAAGCTACAATTTGGTTTTATTTTGGTGTAATTTGATTGATTATGATCTAGGGTTTTAGCACTGTTATATGCTTATAATTGAAATTGCATTTTTTTGAAATTGAAATGAGAGCTAACAATTAGCTGCTTTTGTGAGAAATACGATTTCACAGTATAAATTTGTGCGATTGTTGGATATATTTTGGGGAATCTGTAAAAAATACTTCGTTTGTGAAGTAGTAGCTCGCTTCAATTTAGATATGTAAGCGCGACTATGACTTCTACAGTTGAGGACAGAGATTTGAATGTTGTAGGTGATATATATGTCCTCGTTGAAGGTGGAAATGTCCTTGTGTAGTTATGTTATAGGTAACATTGGCTGGTAAAGTGACAGGCTTGCCGGTTATGAGTTGATGGCTAGACCCCTGTAATCTGAACTAGAGTACTTGGTGGCTTACTGATGTCATGGCGAAATTTGAATGTATGTCTTATTTCCTTGTCAGTTGCTTATTTATGGATTTGAAATAATGATTAGGTATGGAGATTATGCTGATGGTCGAGAAATGGGTCCAAAGAGACAACGGTTGATGGAGCAAGGATCTTCATATTATGGGGCATCACCTGGCTATGGGGCTTCACCTGGCTATGGAGCCTCAACCCCCTATGGAGCTTCACCTGGTTCAAGTATTATGTATAACCCTTCTCCATATGCTGGATACGTCAGCCAACTTCCCCCATTCCCTGTTGTCCGACTCCGTGGTCTGCCCTTTGACTGTACTGAGGCAGATGTTCAAGAGTTTCTTCGTGGTTTGGACCTTGTTGATATCCTATTTGTTCATAAAGGGGGTCGCTTTTCTGGGGAAGCATATTGTGTTCTGGGCTATCCTATGCAGGTGGATTTTGCCCTCCAGAGAAATAGACAGAATATTGGTCGGAGATATGTAGAGGTTTTCCGAGGCAAGAGGCATGAATATTATAAAGCTATTTCAAATGAAGTTTCAGAGGCTAGTGGTGTTTCTCCACGTCGTGGTTCTAGAGCAAAGTCATATGATGAAGGAAAGGAACAGTTGGAACACACAGGAATATTGCGATTAAGAGGTTTGCCTTTTTCAGCTAGAAGGGAGGATATCAAGAATTTCTTTAAAGATTATGTTCTTGCAGATGATGCTATTCATATCACGTACAATTATGCTGGTAGGCCATCTGGGGAAGCTTTTGTGGAGTTTCCTGGTCCTGAGGATTCTAGGGCTGCAATGGTTAAAGACAAAATGACTCTTGGGAGTCGATATGTTGAGCTATTTCCTGCACTTCGGGAAGAGATGGATGACGCAATTGCTAAAGGAAGGTGTGTATCTTGTCTTTTCTTTCCCCTAAACTTCAGTTTGCATGCATGATCTATGTGTTTCTTTTTAACCAACCTATGCCCATCATCCTATATGATTTGTCTTAATGAAATCTCTAATTACCATTTAACGGAAGTTTGTATGTTTGTTTGTTTGTTTTTTTTTTTTTTTTTTTTTTTTGCAAATTGCTAATTTTATTAACTTTGGCTATCATCCTTTTGGACAATGGACATGTTCCCAAGATTCCAAGAATCACATTTAAAGTTTTTTTTGATGGAAAAGTATGTACTTCCTCTCTTTCCAAAAGATGTACCCATAATTTTGAAGTATTTTTTTTTATGATGTACCCATTACAATATTTACACTTTCCGCCTCACTCTACACCCACCCACTTTTTATTTTCTCTTACTACCTCCGTTACATATTGGTTGCAACTTTGGGGTATTATTTGAGAGACGTAAAATATTCCAAAGTTGCAACTAATATGTAACGGAGGTAGTAATTTATTCACCTTTTCTTACACCAACTTAACTCTCTTAGAAACAAGAGTCCGCAATAAATAGGTACATAAAAATATGGAGGGAGTATTACCAAAGTAGCTACTTCACATGTCATCTGGTTTGATTTCTGATAAAGAATTCTGGATATTTGTGTATGTTTTAAGCTTCTGTGTTATAAACTCATTATTCTTTGAGGGTTTACTCAATATAATGTAGTTCATAGGCTGATCAAAATCTTCACTTGTTAACTTGTTTCTTTAACAAGCAGGGCAAATTCTCAAGATGACCTAAACGAGCCAGTGAAACATACTGGAGTCTTAAAATTGAGGGGATTGCCTTTTTCAGCCACAAAGGAGGACATAATAGAATTTTTCAACGGATTTGTATTGTCAGAAGATTCAATCCATATTACATCTATGTCTGATGGGAGGCCAACTGGCGAGGCTTTTGTGGAGTTTGCTAGCGCTGAAGATTCAGAGGCTGCAATGGAAAAGGACAGGAAGTCCCTTGGAAGTCGCTACATTGAGCTCTTCCCCTCATCACAGGAAGACCTGAACGAGGCACTCTCGAAGGGACGGTGATTTTACAGTCATTTAGTCATGGCTTTTCTTTACTTTTTTTTTTTTTTTTTTTTCTACTCCAGTTCCTTTTTATGATGTCTTCCAGAATCCAGAATAATTTAAGGGGCACTTTTAGATGCTTTATATGTAATATTTCAGATTAACTTTGTATTATCAGAGCATGTATTTGTGAATCTGATTTTTGTGAAAACTATTGAAGCAAGTTCCAGTCTTAACTTCATGTCAGTTTTTGTTAAACTTCTACCAACTCTCTTTTATCAGCTTTGTACCAGTTCAAAATCTTCCACACTAATTTAAGAAAAGGCAGCCTGATAATGTCCCCAAGTTAGGCTTCAATGCTTACAGTTGTACACGTCTTAAAAAAATAAGATTTGATCTATCATAATTACAATTTTTCTTATTTAGATTCTCATTGAATGAATTAATTCAAATCGAATGATACAGATAAATAAAGCAACCATCACAATTATTACAATAATACCATGGGCAAAAACCTCATTTACATGGCCTGTAATCTTAGAACAATCCGTCTCACATGGCTCAAAATACAGCTGAGATTAATCTCAAGAATCTAAGCAACAATCTCTAATCTACACCAATTTTCTATAATAGACCCTATTCAAAGCAGTACTGAAATTCTAGGAGCTTTAACCTAGAATGCTGCAATGCCTTTACTACTTCTCAACTATGAACTGCCCCATCCCTTTTGTTTTTCAGATACATTGCAATCTCTGTGCTGAGATTCAGCAAATTTCGAGGTCTATGAGGATGGATATTTTGTCTGTTCTCCCCAATTACTGGACATAGGGCTACAGACTGTTACAAATGAATGTGCAAACTCTTGGACTCTTACACCGGGGCCTCTTCTTAGCCAAAGAAAGGCTAGGTAGAGTTGTCACAAAACGCCACAGATTGCAACCATGCAGTTTTGACACGAAGCTGCAACAAGGGGGAAAACATAAAGAATATTTTAAGTTCAGATAAAAAATAATAGAAAATTTAACTTGGCACAGATGCTTTAAGTTGTGTTATATATAATTCACCTTGACATCAAGGCAGGAATCATTTGCCATGTTTTTTATCAAAGTATATACACCAGCATTACGTAGCTTGACAAGCCGACCATAAGCACCAGGGCTGCTGGGAAAAGTTAGATTTACAACAGTCCAAA